AGCGAGCCAGCTGTTATACACATACATGTTACATTCTGGCGGAGGTATGCACTCTCCGTGAGTGCCCTCTGTCTAGTTATCCGTTTGCTGTCACTCCTACACTCGAAAACTGTTAGTGAGGCCTACCACGTGCAACTGTCGCTCTCATTGCCGCGCTACGATTCGTGACTTCGCAGCTTACTTTCACGTTTCTAATGCCGAGCGGTCGTGTCAGCATGCTAAGCGCAGCGCCGGGAGCAACGGCTCTTGTGATAACCTCGTAAATATTAGTCTTCAAAGTGCGAGGGACTACATCGAAGACGGAAAGAGACAAAGTTACATGATCACATAGGCAGATCGATACTGCGGATCGTAGTTGAGAAAACGCCAGGCCACAATTAAAAAAATCGTTGTTTGCCTTTACCCGACCCAGGCTGAAAAGTTTGGGTAGGTAGGTCGGCTTTTTTTTAGGGCGTTTTTTTTTTACAAATTCAGCATGGTGTCTACATGCTCGGGTGTGCTTGGGTGGAAATACCTTTTATGTTGAATGTTTGTTTTGCTTGGTACATATAATGTATTGCCTACAGATTTTTATAATGTAGGGCCTACAGTGATACAATTTGTTTTAAAAAAAAAGTAAATTATTTTTTTTTAGTTGGCCCCTTATTGGCGGGTCGGTCGGTTGAGGGCAAACAAACAATATTTTTATTAGAACTAACAGGGTTAATTATTACTCAACCGTGAAGATTGGAAACGTACAGCTTACGTTGGCTTTCTCAAAGCTAACTGATGATTATCAGTTTTGACCACCAGATGGTGTAGTGGTCAATAGCTTAGTCCACACGTGACTGAGCCTGTATCCCACCTCGTCACGGTTGATGTTCGGGGTCTTGCGGATCCAGATGGCCTCCTTAATCCATTGCCTGATTTTGATTGGCTCGCGATCGATTATCTTCGAATTATCCCAATCGATATCTTTATATTATTATATGATATATTATTATATTTTAATATTTTTATTATGGGCTCACGAGTTCTCCTCCTGGCGCGCTATTGCAGGAAGCCTACTGCAGCCACATCGGCGTCGAGTTCATGTTCATCAACAGCTACGAGCAGTGCGACTGGATCCGGCAGCGCTTCGAGACGCCCGGCGCCACGCGGCTGTCCACGACGGAGAAGCGCTTGCTGTTTGTGCGTCTGCTACGCTCGACGAGGTGCGTACGAGACTCGACGCGGACAGAAGATGTCCCGCGTGGAGGTCAGGGGGAAATTTTCGTTGTTTTTTTTTCACGGGAGCTCTTTTTCAAAAAGTCTGTCGGAAAAAAATAGCTCTCGTCACAAATTTTACGGGCGCTATTTTGAGCCTCACGGGAGCGATTTCGGAGGTTCGAAAAGCGAATCGCTCATTGCTCCAGTGTATTTTTTTACCCTGGTGGAGGTACACGTGTGCATCAGGAACGCTGGTCGCGTCTCTGTGAAGCGTTCAGAATCGGGCCGACAGAAAGACTATACATTGGCGCAACAGAACTTTAGGTGTTTTTTTTTTATCTGTAGAGCAGTAATTAAGTGACCTGACTACATTTCCTTATTATGTAACACACACGCACACGCGCGCATATTTTTTTATTTTTTTATTTAAGAGAATTAAACTTAATAATGGAAATAAAATACATACTCACATATATGCATCTAAGAATATGTATATATATATACGTACATATATATGTATATATATATACGTACATATAAGACGTAAAAGTGTGTTCTTGCTCACACGTGACCGACTCTTCTAGGTTTGAGGACTTTATGAAGGAGCATTGGTCAGCTGAGAAGCGCTTTGGCCTCGAGGGATGTGAGGTGTTGATTCCCGCCATGAAGCAGGTCATTGACCTGTCGACTGCATTCGGAGTCGACAGCTTTGTCATGGCGATGCCGCACAGGTATTAGTAGTGTCATTATTATTAACAGTAATTATAGCAAAACAAGGACCACAATATACATAAGTGTACTTGTCATACTTTTTGTGTATATATCCTTGGTAGTTATCCAATTTTATGAATTCAAAATACATTGTAAAAGTATGCTATATCATGGGTATAATTACATAATTAAATAAATATAAATAAATAAATATACAGCGACCGTATCCGTGGGAATGCACGTTCGCCGTGATGGCACCTGCCTGCCCTGTCTGTCGTACGTCATGCTTGCGCTGGGATTTTCTGGGCTGGTTTTTCCAGATTTCCCCCAAAATTAATTTTTTTTTTAAAGTTTTTAGTAGTTTACATGGCTCGTGAGATGTGTTGTGGCGTTAAATATTGAGGGGATGTTCACTGTAGCATGAATCATACTGTAAGGTTTTAATCGTAATTAAAAGCCAACGGCAAGGAGAGATATTGTACTGTGGGAAAACCTGCACATTTGTGATGGATCAGGTAACTGCTCTGACGTTTACAGTCATGAGTCAAGCTAGCTCTTGGCTGCAAGTCTGATCTTTTTTTGCATTGCAGAGGAAGGTTGAATGTGCTCGCCAACGTATGTAAGAAGCCACTGGACCAGATCTTTTCTCAGTTTGAAACCGTTAAGCCGTCTGAAGAGGTATGCCAACACTAAACTCCCCAGTTCTACCATCTATGTGTGTCCAGCTTCGGATAGACACGTTGCCCGTCCACAGTAATTTTCACAGTGATGTGACTTGGGCCAGCTTCTTAAGCTGTCGAAATCCCAGCTGACAAAACAGGGGTGCACGTCTTGTCAGAAATCAAATTAGTCTTAACACTAGTCTTAACATAAAGTTTTACTCTTAGATGGAACTCTCTATACACTGCATATGAGCCACTCGTAACTTTACAACGTTTCTGTCAATGGTCTACGAGAAAAGGTTGATGTTTAAACTAATGTTCAGACTAATTTTGTTTCTGACAACGGGCCTACGCTTTTATACTGTTTACGCTGGGTTTTATAAACTCACTACCTCAGGAACCGGTAGGATGACTGCAAGATTGTTCGTTGAGTACGTGTTTGTGCACAGGTCAGAGTGGTGGGGCCTGTTTAAAGCTGGGTTCATGCTACCGACTTTTTGTTGGCGAATTGGCAAATTGGACCAACTTCCCAACTATACAACCGACAATCGGCAGTACGTGTAAACGCAAAATTTGCGCGACCAACAGATCGATAGTAACTAGTTGGGAGATTAGAATCATGAAATCATTAGATCATGTTCTATTTTCGCCAATTCGGAGTTGCCGAATTGCGAAATTGGTCCAACTCGCCAATTCGCCGACATAAAGTCGGTAGTGTAAACCTAGCTTAACGCCGGTGCTGTGAACATTATACCCTGTGTGGCAGCGCTGCTGTAGGCAATACCCTGTGTGGCACTGCTGCTGTAGGCAGTACCCTGTGTGGCAGCGCTGCTGTGAACATTACCCTGTGTGACAGTGCTGCTGTGAACATTACCCTGTGTGGCAGCGCTGCTGTGAACATTACCCTGTGTGACAGTGCTGCTGTGAACATTACCCTGTGTGACAGTGCTGCTGTGAACATTACCCTGTGTGACAGTGCTGCTGTAGGCAGTACCCTGTGTGACAGCGCT